AGGGACAAAAAACACAAAAAAGTGTCAATACCGAAAGTGTCTGGATAAAACCTGATGTGTTGCTTTTTCACACACCATATTTTAATTGTATTGAGTTTAGAAAGCTGCAAACACAAGCTTTTTGGAGCTTGACAGCCTCCGTTCTTTGTACTGTAAGTTCTAGACTAGATCATAATCATTTCTTCTGAGGTTGAATTGTGTTTTTTTTTTTTACATTAAACTGCAGATAAGGGTTCAGCTTTAGGAACTGTCACATAATCCATGTTTTGAATGAATATGTCAGCGCTGTATCACACGAATCAGCTGCACTTCTAAACACTATTATACCGAGGAGAAGAAAAGCAGAAGACAGTCCGTTCCCTTCACAGACATTCATATAAACATCCACCAGCTTTTAAAAGCTTGAAAAATATTTTTATACAGATGCTGAAGGAACATGACATTGTATCATTCTTTAAACATTATTGGAATGTTACATTTGAAAGTTCCAAAACAAGTTACATTTAAAAAACGTTAGAAGAACGTCCAACTGCGAGTCAGAAATGACTCATTTTTATTGTTTTTTTCAATGAAATGAATGTACTATATTGTAGTTTGATGTTTTTTATTTAATATTTTGTATTTTTAGGAGATTTTATGACACTAAATTATATTCACGCTGGAGGACCTACTTATAATCCATTCACTATTCGAGCACAGACCTGAAAATGAAAACTTAAACTGTGGTAAATCTTGAATACTTTAAACACAGACTGAAGTTTGATCTCTTTTTAAAGATTATTGCAGAAGTAAAAAACATATTTTTAATGAACTTTTAAAAGGAACAGAATTTTACGTGTATTGTTGTGAAAAATACTATTTAAAATTTTTATATAAAATATATTTTTTCAAAATCACATTTTACTTTAAAACTGCAAGAAAATCAAAGCCATAAATCTAAACAAATTTGAGTTTGATATCTCAAAAAAGGATCATTCTGTGAGAGTGTGTTCGGCTGCAGTTCCAAACGCTTCCACTAGAGGAACTTCGTCGTGTCTGACCGCGAGAAACACAAGTGTGACTATTTTTTACAAGACCATTCAACCTGTTCCAATCATGTTCTTGATTTTTGTGTGTGTTGCAAAAACTTTACCAAATTTCGTACCATTTCAATGAAGAAAACAAAAAATGATGTGAATGATGGATAAATTAGTGTTTTTAACTCGTTTCAGGCTTTATCATCAGCACTGAATCAAGCTCAGGGACTAAATGATGTTTGTTGATGGATTGTGTGATGTGACATTAGGAGTTTGTGTAATGGATCATAATGGCGTCTCTGCGAACGGAAGGGCAGATTCTCTCTGATCTCCATTACACACACTCTCGCACTGGTGTGTGTGTTTACTGAGAGGACACTGTTTGTGTATTTGTTGTAATTGTCCTGAACTCTTTGTCTGTCATCTAATGACTGACGCTTTAATAACGAGCCGCTGTGATAAACCCAGTAGACGTCCATTAACCGTTAGCAGGGTTTAATCAGTCGCCGCGGTTTCACTGGTGAAAATTAACAAACGCTGTTATGAGTGAGTTTTATTACAGCTCAGAATCAAAATCAAGAAGAAATTACACTTCATTAAAAAAAAAGAAAATAATCTCCTCGAAGTCTGCGGGCTGGTTTGATGACTCTGGCTTTAATTAGTATAGCCTGTATTAGTGATGTCAGTTCTTTACAGGCTATGCTAATCTATGCCAGAATCATCTATGCAATGGATCTGAGTTTCATCATTCTGTCAAACACTGAGCCGAGAGTCAGAGCTGCGATCAGAAACATAAACCTGCCATACTGGAGCACCAATGGGGAATTTTATTGGTGTGTGTGTGTGAGTGTGTGGGTGAGTGAGTGAGAGTGTGTGTTTTATTTTATATAGTTCAGTTTAAAAACAACAATTTGATATTTTTGCAGGTTAATTTTTGAATTTGTGTTTTATAATCATCTAACTGTTAAATCACTAAACTGCTAATAATCACACTTGCCCCGGTGTGATTAAACACTCCTGTGACGACTTGCCCCAGTGTGATTAGACTCTCCTGTGACGACTTGCCCAGGTGTGATTAGACTCTCCTGTGACGACTTGCCCCAGTGTGATTAGACTCTCCTGTGACGACTTGCCCAGGTGTGATTAGACTCTCCTGTGACGACTTGCCCCAGTGTGATTAAACACTCCTGTGACGACTTGCCCCAGTGTGATTAGACTCTCCTGTGACGACTTGCCCCGGTGTGATTAGAGACTCTGGTGACGACTTGCCCCGGTGGGACTAACGCTGCTGTCCTCGGTGTGTTTGGGGTGTTCAGATGTTCCTCTCTTCAAGTGGAAGTCCAAGATATTCTGCTTGACCAGTGAAGCCTTCGAAATCCGCTGCCTTTGATTTATGCAGAACAGAATAAACCCTGAGGATTTCGATTCTCTTCCCTTCAGCTGCTCGGCTTTACACAATTATTTCCTATCCAAGTAACAAGAGT